AGAGAGAGAGAGATGTTCTTGGCATACCAAATTAAAATTAAACCAAAATTAAGTGAAATGTTAGTCATATTTTATTACTTGATACTTAGGGGAGAGGACTTTTGACACGTTCTAAGAAGAATCTACATTTGCCAGATTTGGTGTGTGTGTGTATATCCAAAAAGTCCTGATTTCAGGATTCTTGAGTTTAGCTAATCCATAAAGAATCTGTACCGATGCCTGTGCGAAATGTCTTCAATGTGGGTAGTTGAATAAGCAATCTTCTGCTTCTTCTTAACTGGCTAGTTGCAAACTAATCCAGGATTTGCTTTTTTCCCATTTCAGGAAATAGTTCATACTGCCTTCCAGGAGAATTGTCGTGCAAAAGTGATACCATTGACTGCCATTTCCAGTCCCCATTGTGGTGAGAAGATTTTGTGAATGCTTTTACTGCTCTGGCCAAAGTCATTTAAACCAAACTATATTGGATTTTAATGTTTGCTGTCATTAAATTTAGTCTGAGGATGCAATTGAGTTGAAACAAGTCTGGTTTTGAACTTGCATCTTAGGTCGTGCTTTTGTTGATTTCAAAACAAGAGAAGCAGCAGATATGGTTATTCGAAGATTGGATGAGGGATGCTTGATGCTACCATCTGGAAGGTATTGATCCAAGTGACTTTTTTTTTTTAAATAACTGTTATCTTTCCAAAGTTTTTCTTCCTTGCATTGAAATGCAGATTACTTGATAAGCATTGTGATGATCTACATCTTCTCTCAAAAAAAGAAAAAGTGACGTTTTCTACATCTCTGAAATTTTTCACGCTTTTGTCATTTTGGAATATCCCATTCATGGATGGTTTGTGAAAATATAAAAGTTAATTGTGAAACTGCAGTTGATGTGGCCATCTTGTGCTGAAAGTCGGCAGTCCCTGGCCAATCTCCATCATGGATATTTTCTCTAGTGATTTTTTATTTAGGAGATTCAACTGAAGTAATCTCCTTTAAGGGTCTGAATTTGGGATCTTGGGTGCAAGACGATGGGCTGATGTGACCATTTGGTCTTGGTTGTGTTTTGCTTTTTTTGGAATGTTTGGTTTCATTAATTATATTTCCTCTTTTTTTTTTTTTTCCAGTAAATCACATTTTATTAGTCCATCCAAAAATTACACCAATAGAAGCAATGATGACAATGCAAATGAATGTTGGGGAAACAACTCATCACATTCATATATTATCAGTAGTGACTAAGAGTTATGCAATATCCCCCCCTTCTTTGGCTGAAGATTCTGCAATGCCATTTGCCTCTCAGAAAATGAGAAGGTTATATGGGATGAAAGTGCATAGCTAGAACATTCTTATATGATGGCTACATGCAATGGGCTGTGCCTGTCCTGCCAAGCCCACCTAAGAAGATTTAGCTGGTTTCCTTCAACCGCAAGGGAAGATCAGTTACAAAAGGCTTAACTTGATCCCCAATAGAAATGCCTAGTCTTGGCCATTGTCCAGTACTCAATTTGCTTGAGCCCAGAGGAGCCGAGTAAGCACTCTATTACCTTTTCCTTCTGTGAGGACTCGCCGACAGCTGTGTGGTTGCCCCTTGACTTCATCGCAATTGAGTCAACCGAAAAGAGCAAAGGGGCATGGTGGGTTGGGGCACTTCGTCTAGGACTAGATGTGATGGGCCATCCAGAATGCTACCAAGAACCCTCAGTCACAACATCTGACACTGAGAGCCAGCCCTTAAAACTCAGGTCGAGTTTTAGACATCCTCCAAAGCAAGAAAAACGAAAAGCTTCCCATTCAAATATGAGACTGCCAGTGGTCTGTTGCATACCCCAATCAAGGTCAAAAAGCCCCATCATGTATGACCAGATGGATGAGACAATCCAATGATGGAATTGTGGCATTGCTTCCAAGTCTTCCTTACATAATGAGCAATGATTTTTTATCTAAATCCCCCATGTTAAAGGTGATCTCAGTCATCTTATCCAAACAATACAAACCAACCAATTGGAATGTGTGAAATGAAACACACAGGTGGTAGACATGTTGGCTGTTGCAACAAATGATTAAGGAATGATGTGTTAGCGAAAGAACTGCTACTTTCCCAAGTCCGTATCTTCCGGTCCTAGTCACATACTGGCGCAAACGTCTCATGTTGACCACCTGCGAGCAAGGTGGCTCGTCTCCAGGCCTAAGATTCCTCCAAAATCATGGTGTCCAAGTTACCATGTCCTCAACTCTCTATAATCTGCCACGGGCCTTCCTGGGGCTAAAGCATTCTGATAAAGGCTGGGAAAGGTCTCTCCAAGTGATCGTTATAGCAGAATTCCTTTCATTTTGTAGAAACTTTTGAGTTTCTTAGCATTAAATTTTTGTATATCATGACATCTCTGACAGAAATTTGTATACAACCATTTTTGAAATAGAATACAAGTCATCATTTCAAACGAAAAGCTTCCCATTCAGATATGAGACTGCCAGTCATCAAAAGAAGATATATTTACTAAGAGTGATTTAAATAATAACACATGCTCCAACATTCATGCAATGGGAGTCTGCTGAGATGACCTTGTACTGGAGATTGTGATTCAAAAATAGGAGGCAACATTTTTTCTTTAATGACTGTGCAACAGCATAAAAGGCTGTAGACCATAATTATATGGAAGTTCTCATATCAATCACCAGGGTTTTAGAAACCTATACGAGAAGGCAAACCATTCTGTAATATCACTCAGCCTTGGTGTTTTGGGATAATTATGCTGGGAAAGGTTTCATGAATACACTAGTATTTGTTATGAACTTGAAAATAAAAAATGGATTTATCTCATTTGGTTTTGGATTGTCCTTTTATACAAGATACAATTATTGTATTGGTACACGGTCTTGAGTCCCTAATATGATTACAATAAATCCCTATTATGTTTAGAAGACTAAAAGCCCTACTACGGGCGCACACACACAGGGAGGGAGGGGGAGAGAGTGGGAGATGACTTGAAATTTCTTTGGCTTTTATTTGTTTCTATTTTTTTGTTTTCTTTTATCAATGAAATTTTCATGAGTGGCAAACAACATCTAAATATTTATACAATCTAGAAGTTGAAAATACCCCTTTGTTTGTGCTCCTGGTCAAATTAGTAGTACTTTTTAATGAGTGATAGGTTTTCCCCATCAAATATAAGATTTATTGTTTTATTTTGTCTTTCATCAGGAGACTGGCAATTTGCCCTCAGGAATCAGAGACGTGTCAAAGAGAAACAAAGAGATAAAGGATCTCTTATGAGTGAATAAATCAAACTCTATTCTGTGGGGCATGAAAATTGGAAAGTCATTCTAAATTGTGATCGCTATGACCAAACAACAGTTTAGCATAGCTGATAGGCATACCAAAATCATGAGCCCTCTAATTCTTCCATATGGTTTCACTGCTAGTATCTCATATGATTCAATATTCTCTTCTCTGTTGAACTTGTAGACTTCATATGTTTTATCAACAACTTACAACAAGATGAAGGAAAGTACATGATAAGCCTTGTGGTGGCTGATCTCTCAGAAAGCCAATTTGAATAAAAACAACAGTTTTTCTTATGGATCCTGCTAAGAGGTAAATGGGTGCTATTTAGTGTAGCTTTTGTGGAGTTCCTTGTCCTTGCAGGATAGGATTGATTAAGTGGACCTGGGTTACTTTCTGCACATCTTTCAAAAAGCAGCTGGGTCGTCTGGTCTTAAATATATCAACCAGAGCCTTTTTGTTTCTCAGATATGAGGTTCTTTCTTGTGGTCCTCTTCCACAAGTTGCAGGGTGTTTGGTTTTTTTTCTTAACAGAGGTTTTGAGGAACCTGAAATTGCAACAGGTTGATATGGGAGTCAAATGTATTCTTGTTCATTTCCAGTTGAGATGGATTCTATATTTTCTTTTCTTCTATGATTACTCCTGTGTAGGGGCTTCTGCTAAAGTGTTAGAAGGAAGCATATAAAGTTCTGCACTCGATAATAAATGAAAGATGATGCAAACCTGTTTCACATGCACTGTCAATGCCTAGTCATCCCTAGCAACTATGTTGCAGGCAATAACTCTTTGAAATGGGAATTGATAATTCAAATTGAGGGGTTAATACCTAGATTAAAGAAACATATAGATGCATTAGCGAACTGGTACCTTGAAATTCTTAAACTCTTGAGTCATGCTTTGTTCTGATGTGTCAATGTCCTCAGCCATCACCGTATACCTCTTAGATTTCTTAGTTTTTAAGATTTTTGAGGTTCATGGGTGTATTTATTTGATGAACTTGACTTTGTGCTGATTATGCCATCAATATAGCTGTGTGGTGTTTTTATCATGCTTCGTCTTATAGCTTTTTGGCATGTCATTTAATTTACTGATGTTGCATTACTCCCTTTGAGGATGATAATTATCTTGTCATGCCATTCCTTTTTGCTATTATTTGATGTACCATATTGGAATGATGCCATTTCTGTGCATGGTAGACCACTTGTTGCCAGCAAAGGAAAACATCTGATGCCAAGGATGTCCACAAAATTTTTTGGCCATCTCTCTGTTGAAAAGCTCAAGTTTCAAAATCACCGTGAAGAAATGGTCTGTGTGCTTCTTCCTGTACTTGGATAATTTGGTTTCTCAACATACTCTTTCCTATACCTTAAATGAATGCATGACCTGTTTTTGCTTCTTCAAAATATTTATTGTTTAACATCTCGGTAATTTTCAGAGGAAAGCAGTGTCCACATCACACTGTTCTCAGCCAAACACGATTGAGTATGAGATGGCCATGGAATGGAGATTATTACAAGAAAAATCTGATTGCTGGTGGAAAGAGCTTTATAAGGTCTTTAGATCACTTGACAAATCACACTTCTATTAATGTAGAGATAAATAGTCATTATTTTATTTGTTAAAGTATTCTTACTGGTGTCATCGGTTTCTTTACAGCAACATTCTGAGGAGTTGAAAAAGCTTAGGAACAATTTACAAAAGAAGTAGGCTTCCTTCCCAGACCAGGAAATTTTGGTAAGCAAAATGATTACTGGTGCAATCTTTGATCCTGAGTGACTGGAGCTGTTTCATCCAACTACATTGGTTGCTTCCTTCACTTCTACAGAATCGTACTTGACAGTTGCATCATGAATATAATTTTAACCTTGTCCGATATAGTCAACTCCACACAGTGATGGTGATGTGGCACCATTGAAGTACAAAGAGGTATGCTTACATATTCTTTCATATAGCATGTATACTTTGCAAACTCAATTTGTTATCAGATTCTTTATGAGGGTGGAGGCTTCCTGATTTGGAATGTTTGGGCATTTTTAACATGAAAAACTATGACCAAATGGAATGTTGGCTTTGCTGTCACTTCATCGTTGAATGGTTTATAATGTGTCTGTGAAGCTGTTAGTACAATACATGATAGATTAAGTTGTGAATATTTTGGAAAGCAGTTTTCCTTTATGCGTGTCCATACCCATTTTCCTTGTAATATGGAGTGTCAATTATAAATCTCTGCATATGTGGCATTTGATTTCTAGATGCATCATACACATATATTGGTTTGACCTTAAGCTTGAACGGGTTATCTTGATAATTTTGTACACGATAATTCTGATTAATTTCTTTTCTGATGGCATACTTCATTGTGCGAAAGATCTTTTTCTTGTTGATTATCAGGAACTTGTTCTTGCTTTACAGTTTGGCATTTGACTTTTGCAGACATGTTCTTGATTCTGTACAAATTGGCATTAGATGAAGAGAATATAATATATGGAATTTCGAACTTCAAAAAAATGAATTGAATCTGTAAAGGTGGTTGACTCCAAGATATGTCATACTGGATGTTAGAGTGGTGTGAAACAAGTATTAGCCCCTGATTCACGGTCTACTACTTTCTACCTGCACCTGTGTAGTTAAGGGAACACCTGAATCAAGTTTTTCATTATCTGATATAGGATTCTTGAAACTCTAGATGATAGGTTATGCTTTTACTCACTGAGTTTCCACATTATACTTGAAGGTTGTGTAATCAAATTTTGCTCTCAGCTCTGAATTTCCTTAGCTGTAAGTCTCCATGTTTTAGTGGGTTTATCATTGTGTATAATTTATAGCAGTGTGGGGGCACTGGGTGTAATTAGCGGTGAATCTTGGCATATCAAAATTCACCAACATCAAAATGAGCGGCAAATCCCTCCAAAACTTACTAGAACAAGCATGGAACTTGACATGGCAGTCAGACAGTCAATGGAGAACCCACTCAAATTAGAGAGAATTTCACCAACATCAATGTGGTTCTCCTTTCATGTAGAAATAGCATATACATGCCCCATGACAATTCCATTTCGTACCTTTCACAAATAATGATTTTGCTGCTTAAAAACATTCCTAATTAAGATACTCTTAACCCCCAAGAAATCTTCTTAATGCAAATGTCTATTTGCCATCCAGCAACATCTCAAAACAGGCAAATTTTCCTAATGAAACCACTTTTTTTAGTATAAAAAATTGGTGATTTATTACTCGATCAGTAGTATAAACTTAGGAGACTCTTGCTAAAACTGAAACAAATCAAACATAGTTTAACTATCCTCTAGTCAAGCTCTTGCTTCAATTCTCCTTGGTTCTAGAGTGACAGGTTTAATGCTGTATATCATTGTAAAGTCCTCAATTCATCGACTACTCTGGAAATCTGCATGCTCTCCATTAGCAGCTTTTTCTTCCTTCAAATGCATTAGGAACTTGTATGCCTGTTGACTGGTGGTACACATTGTCCGCACATAAAGGAATTATTTGATCTCCTCACAGATTTCTCTGGAATTTGTTTCTACCCCATTCCTTGTTCTCCCACTTCTTTTTCTTCATGCAAATAGAGCCTACACAATGTTATGCCCATTTTTACCCATTTCCTAAACCATGACATCTTGTATACCTGAGGATTTTTTTGCAAGTCTTCAGTTTTTAAATCTTCGTCTATTATTATGCCTGCGCCATTTCTAAATATGAAATGAGATTTGTATATTATGAGACCATTTATCTTGGTTGCATGGAGGTCACAATTACTCGTAGCCATTAGATGTCAAGTTGGAACACTTGAGGTGTGTCACAAAGTTCCAGAAATTTCTTTTTGAACTTTGAGTGTAGTCAGTGACAATCATACAATCACCCAATTTGAACTCTAATGGACAAGAATAATTGTGACCTTGTACCAAAAATAAATGGTCTCTTTGTATACTTTTCATATGAAATACATGAGACTATTTTTAAATAGAAAAAAGGGAAGATATCTCCATACCCCCCATTTTTAAGTTTTATATCTCAATAGACCCAATGTTTCAAAACATATCTTGGGTCATAGAAATTCTAAGTCTTGTATCTTCTAACCCTCTAAATTAATTTTATCCCCTTTAAACCTATTTGTTTGCCCCAAACAAATATAATAAAGACATCCTTTCTAAACACCATCCTTTTTATCTCTTCACATGATTTTCCCCTAAATTTCTCTCTCCATGACTTTTCCCAAAACCTCTCTCTCCCTATTTTCCCACTTTCTCTCTCCATGGTTTATTTTTCTTTATATATTTGCTTGATTTCTATGGATTTTTTCTATTGATTGGTTGGATATTATTCGCATGGATGATTAACTGTATGTAGATTGTGCCTGTTTTTTGAACCCAAAATGAGAGAGAGGGGTTTCGAGAAATACGGGATAGAGAGAGAGCGAGAGACTTAGAGAGAGAAAGTAGGAAAAAATACAGAGAGAGGGAGAGAAGGGGTTTGGGAGAATCTCAAGGAAGCGAGAGAAAGAGAGAAATTTGGGGGGAATAGATCACGTAAAGAGAGGAAGGGTTTAGAATGAGCACTTCTTTTTTATATTTGTTAGGGCTAAAAAAATAGCTTTTTTTGAGATAAAGTTAACATTGTATTACTGAAATTGTTGTGTACAAGAATTGGCAAGTTCGAGTTCACCCGCTCGGGGTGGATCGGTAAAAAACGGTTAGCGTATCATATATAAAAAAGGGGGCTTATAGATTCCGCCCTAATTAAAGGATTTACATGAAGCTCTCAAAAATTACAAAAATTACAGGAGGCCTAAAATTGCCAACTAATACGCTATGTTGAAGAGTTGTGCCAAAGGTCCTGTGCAACAAAGGAGTCAACCCCGGCTTGATCCTGTACTTGCATACTAGCTCCCTCTTTCGCGAAGCGATCTGCGAAGTCATTGGACGTCTTCCATATATGCCTCCAAGAGACGTCCATATCCCTGCAAATATGGTAAATTTCATCAAAGATAGTGGTTAGGTACCATGGCAGAGAGGTAATCCTACTAGCCCATGAGAGAACATTTTTTGAATCTCCTTCTATGATGAGGTGTAAACCCCAAAAGTGGTTGAACTTTTTCAGGCCGTGTAGGAGGGCCAAGGCTTCTGCATTATGTGCATCCTTGAAGCCTAGATGCTCTGAGAATGTAAGCAGTACATTGCCTTGGTGGTCTCTAAAGACCCCTCCAGCCCCAGACGGGCCAGGATTCCCAAAGGAGCAACCATTGAAATTTAACTTAATGATTCCTTCTGGTGGTGGTTGCCAAATGCTGGATCTTTGTGGTTGTCGTCGGCGGTGATGGAGGATATTTTTCCATTGGGGAAAGAATATCTCCTTAGTATACCCGAGTAGACCTTGTGGTTCGAGGTCCAAAATAGATAGAAGTGGGCAAAGTTAAAAGTAGTTAAAAGTGGGTAAAGCTAGTCAGGGGGTTAGGAAATATATTTTAAATCTTTGGGTCTATTGAGATATGAAACAAAAAATAAAGGGTACGGGGATATTTCCCCTATAAGAAATAAAACAGGAATATGTAAATTGCCCTTTTTTTTCTATTGATAATGGGAGAAAATTTTAATAATTTATTAATTTGAAAAGTGCATAACAAGAAGAAGGAAATAAGTAGTTGAAGAAATGACGAGGCAACATATCAGTGACAATATACCTCTGTTGACCAAGAACTTCTCCCCTGCCACACCTCTATTAGCTAAAGCATCAATATCCCCATAGGTTTAGAAGTCACATCCTTGAAGTTACAAATGTCAAATTTCTTCAAAGGCAGTTACCAGGTGCCATGGTACAAGAGTCTTCCAGCTCATCTACTGCATTGAGACAAATCCCTCCACTCCAGAGAACAATGGCATATCTAACGTGAAAGGGCATCTCCCTAATAAAATGTGCATACACAACTGTGCCTCTGCAAAGTCACAATCGCAAAGGGTCCCAGTTAGGTCATGAACCTCTGCTCCTTAGTGTCCCTAATGGTACAAAATAGGAGAAATATGGGGTAACAGATTCTCCTTGCAAGGACTTGTATCCATGTTCGTGACACACACAGGTATGGGGCATCAGATTCACATTGCTGTGATAAACAGGATTTGGTGGTATGGGGCATCAGATTCACTTTGCTGTGATAAACAGGATTTGGCCACGCGGCTGTATTATGAAGAGACTACAAAGTCCAACATTAGTTACTAATATCCATTTGATGGCTGAGTAGCCAAAAAAAAGAATAATGCCTTGGTTGGCTGAATGTGTATACTGAAACAAAACAGAAGATCAAGTCGCAATCAATTTAGTGAATGGTTAGTGAACAAGATGAAGAGTTCAGAAGAATCTTTGTTAGTATGGGTGATATGTCTAACGCAGGTATGACATCCCAACAAAATCATCCATGTAACATAGAAAACAACCTATACCTCCTGCCCCTGTTCTTAGGTATACAGTATTCAAAATTAAGTTTCATTGTTCTCTATGTCGGCCCAATCCAGACCTTTGCATTTTAGGACCCAAAAGAGCAACCAAATTCTAGGCTCTCAATAGGAGGTTCACCACCCAAACACAGTAGCTCCTCATGACTATGGTCTAAAAGGAATAAGAACCAGCCACATCCCTAATCCTCTCCTGAATGACCAATGCTCTCTACCTGCCTATTTCAAAAATGGCAGCAATTATGTTTGTCTCATATACACCAGAATATAAGAATGCTACATAAATTTCACGAAGGAGAGGCCCCTGGTGCCAACATGTAAAAAATGCCCTACTGTATAGGGCATCACCATCTCCAAACCAAAAAGATGAAGGACATAAATACCAAATGGCGTAGGCCTGACATGACTGTATAATGGCAACTACGTTTAATCAGCTCCGTGTGAGCTAGGGTGATATTAGAAGAGTTTTGCCAATTAACACAGGGATTCAACGTCACTTTCGCACACTGCAGCAGAGTCTATCTTTGTGGCAGACTGATTGGCAAGAGAGGGAGTTGCTAGCCTCTCTTTGGCTCTCATTTTTTTCCAATCTGAGTATAGACTCAATTTTGTACAGAACCAAGACACTCTTGTAGATCAAGTTTGTCATTTAGTGAGAACTGAAAAGTTACACTGATATCATTCAAAACAAAATGACATTCTGGAAAAACATTCAAAACAAAATGGAATTGGGCAGTATGAAACAGTATACTGGCTTTCAAGGCGGTTACTGCTTAGCATTGTGATGTGGTAAAAAATTACACTGTTAACAATTCCCTCCCCCCCAACAAAAAAAAAAAACGAGAGAAATAGTAGAAATGGCTAGTATGCTGGGGTTTTGAGGGTTGATGCTAGCCCTACATACAGAGAGCTCTGGACTCCGTTTCAGTTGAAATATTGAAATTTAGAGTGGTAATGGGAATCGATAAACTCGTGCATCTGAGGTTCAAAATACATAGGCACCTACACACGCAACGCATGTGCAATGTTCAATAAGATGGGGGGGGGGGGGTGGGGGGAAGTGGGGAATATAGCCAAAATATACATTATGAATTTTCAAATGTGCATTATCAAGTAGAAACATAGTTAAAAAAATTTACAATCACAGAAGTAGCAAACCCTAAAAAAAAAGGAAACACAAAGTTTCATCATGAAAGTAAAGCTATACTTCAAAAATTAAAGTAAGAAAATGATTAAAATTTTGACATAACACGGTACTCAAAAAATATGAAACCTTAAACATAAACAATTAAATTTACGGACCTTTCGAAAACCAATTATATTAGGCTTGAATCAACCACCGTCAGTTACTAAAAGCTCGCTCTCTTTTGCAGCCTCTTTAATCCCTAGAAAATTTTGGGTTGAGTGCTTCTCAATTTGGCAAGAAACTAAAAACTTCAAATACGAATTCGACCTTTTAAAAAGTTTTGATTTTGAGCTAAAAAAATTGTTTTTGAGGCAAAGGAATAGTTGTCTAGGGTTTTGCAGGGGCCAAAATGCCCCAAGATACTATTTCCCCTCTTGGCCCATTTGGCGAGGCAATTTCGGCGCTCACAAAAAAGGCCCTAAGCGGGCGCCCAAGCAGTTTGCCTGGGCAACTAGTCGGCTGCTATTGGTTACCGTCCTGCACTGGGCTGTATAGGCCCAATACCATGCGGAGAGTCCTCCTAGCCACTTGGCAGCCCACCCAAGAGCCGACTTT